TGAGATTTCTTCCACCACTGCCCAGAGCGAAGCTGCCCTGTACATTAACATTCCAAGTACCAAATCTTATATCCATTTTCTATCGCCTAGCTCCTTAATCAACAGAATTCGTCCAGGTCCGAGGCTTTTTGAACATTTTCGTAACAAGATTATTTTTTAGGGTGAGGAGTTGTTAGCCTCAAGTCCAACCCCCAAGCTGGAGGACCACCCCTTCTCGGCTGTCTGCGACGGCTTGTTCAATATATTCGCAACTCCCTCCATACTTGAAGGGCGTCTCCACCATTCGCAACCTGAGGACGCGCCATGCCCTGGTGACAAGGGACCCACCTAACATGGCTGCAGAACTCAAGCTTGAGGGAAAAGCAGGGACTGGCGATGAGGCATTTGTCTTCCCGCGTGGCCCAGAGACAGGACGCGAAAGTCCCTAACGGAAAAGTTCATTGTCTCCGAGACCGACATTGCGTGAGAGCAAAATCTTAAACCCATACCAGTATGTTGTGTTTTCTTGATATCAAATGCATTATCTATTCATCACTAATTTGTTCCCCCCAAAAAGAAGAGCCAACCAAAAATTCCACCTTGAAATTTTAGAACTTTTATACAGTCTTCAGACGGGCAATATCTCTGGCCTGAGGAGTTGGTTTTTGTACTGGGGTCTACATTTATTTGTAGTTCGTGTTACGGCGCCGCCAGTAACTCGGGGCCTGTCCCAGCATTTACCTGAAGGGACTGGGGACAGATACAAGAAACCTCAGTCAGGACAGCCTGTGTCCCGGCAGGAATTCGTAACAGGCGCCTCGCGAGAGCATTCAAAAGCGTTATGGTTTGAGCAAGTTGCTCTGTGGAAGTCTGTACCGCGACAATGCAGTCTCCCATGCTGCATTTTCGGTACAGCGAATTTTGGCTGAAAACTGGAACATTCACTATACGCATCTGATTTGGTCCCGTGGGACTCTCTAGTCCCCCGGAACTAAGAATTCTCTTGACACGGTCTCATTTTGCATCATTTAGAACCATTCAGGTAGACGTGTGGACAGCACTAAAAGCGATTTCAGAAACTACTTCTAGTAGGGCTTCCATAGCCAGTTTCGTATGGAAGGAAATATGATTCATTTGCTTGATTTTAGAGTGTATTTCTTCTTTCTTCAGCTACTGTGTATTTTAATCTATTTTCTCATATGCGTGTCAAACGAATGATTTCAAGATACTTTGTAGTATACTTCCTTTTGTTCGGTCCGATTATTTAATTATCAGATTTCTTACGGCAGTTTATAGAAATCTTGGTACGAAGAAGCGTGGACAATTTTAACATCTCTAATTTGCACGGTGTCAGCACGTGACAACGTCGAGTCAGCCCAACGTCACGGGATTATGGCGTAACTTGAGCATAAATCAATATGCGTCGTTAGGACCAATTCCTACAAGTCAGCTAAAACAAAAGAAGCCGACATGCCATCTGCATGCGCCGAGAGTGTTTCAAGCGCTCAGATGTAGGTAAAGCGCGACCCGCGAGCATGGACGGCTCACTGCTAACTTTACTTTCTCACATATAAATTGTTTGAAACGCCAGTAAATACATATAATTCGAGATTTTTTAAGGGAAATCGAGTTCTTTTGGGGGGGGGGTACCGGCAAACGGATTAAGTTATTATTTTTATTTACTTTCTTCTAAACTGTGAAGAGAAAGTCCGAGTTGGGCCCAATGCAGGTTTTGTTTGAATGCTTCTCATTACATTATCAGAGCGGGAATAGAAATTTAAGCTGTAGTGTCTAAAGTACAGGTAAAATTTAAAGTTATCCCAGTGCTTAATTAATCAAGCACCATGCCATGAAGACGTGTTGGGGAGAGGAGGTATAACTCCACCGTTCTTGACCTCGGCACTAGTCGGAGATGAGCGGTCAGCATCATACCCCTGCCGCTTTACCTCCGGGGAAGAACGTCCCCCACTACTGTGTAAGAGATCCACAAATGCCATTCTGAATGACGTCAGTAAATACAGAAGACAGAAAGCATAATGCAGATTAAAGTGCCGTTTGGTTATTAGGGTAGGAGTTCTCAAATTCTGCCATGTCCTGTCCACTCTTCACCGGGCAATGAAAGTCGCGCCAATGGTAACTGGATCGGGCGCGACTAGGACGAGGGCACACCAAGGAAACTGGTAACCGTAACGCAACCGCAATTTCCGAGAAATGCCGCCGATTTATACCAGGCAACTGGTTTCCAGATTAGCAGGCGCACACTGAGGAAACTTATGTTTGAGTAGTTGCTCACATCGTCTTAAGTGGGTATGTTCGTCCGATGTAATGCATGATTGCATTTTTTTTTTTTTAATTTCGTACGCTCACCAGCAATGGAAGATATTAATACTGATCCTGTCATAATATGGCGGTAGTTGAGACCGGTTGAGACGGCGTGAGAAGAGAGGATGACGACCATAAGGAAAATATTGGGGCATTAATTAATTTGTTTTAATTAGGGTCAATTTATTTTAATCAGGAAATATCGTGTTCACGCGCGATACAAAATTTTGACATACAGTTCAAAAATTTCAGCAGCATAGAAGACACCTGATGATGGCCGTATATAGTCGAACAATGTAATGTGGAAGAAGGTGACTATATAACAAGTTGCATTTAAGACGAAAATATATGTGAAATAAATGATATATTAATGCAACAGGATGCTTAAATATAATATTAGGAAAAGAAAAACTGGGTGCATCCGTTCCTCTGTGACAGTTTAAACTGAGTTCCTTATATTGTTTCGAAAGAACTTGGATCCTGATTCTTTCGTCTCATGAGAAATTCTTTCCCAAGCCAAATCTATTTTGTCTTGCTTAGAATAATCTGGATGGCGTTTGTCCTAGGTACCAGACTCTTGCTCAATTAACTGCACAAAAACAAAATTAGCAGCTTCGTCATCCTTTAATGCCACCATAATAATCAAATGACTCACTGCAATTGTGTGAAGACTGGCATGCTCCGTTGCCTGGAATTTGAGTTTCTCAATCTCTCCGCGAGTTGCGTTGCTGTTTCCTCAATTTGCGCTGCTCCATTCACTAACACGTATTCAACTCAGGCTGATAATAATTCTCGGAAATCGCGGTTGCCAGATTCCTTGGTGTTCCCTCGTCCTAATTCTATGAAGAAGTTGAGGAAACTTGCAGATATTGTGTTACAAAAACCCATTCTTTTATTGCTAGTGGGGTGGGACTAAGTCCCTTGTACTGCGGCCACTTCTGGCCTATTGTACCAGCCCCAGATGATAGGTAACGGTGATTGTGGAGCAATTGGTGGAATGAAGATTGGCAAGGGAAACCGAAGTACTCGGAGAAAACCTGCCCCAGCACCACTTTGTCCACCACAAATCCCACTTGACCAGATCAGGGATAGAACCCGGGCCGCCGCGGTGGGAAGCCAGCGACTAACCGCTTGAGCTATGGCGCGGCCAAAACCCATCTCAGTCGGAATTTGAACAGAATGAATCTATGGACCTATTTGATGCTACTGTACAGAAGTCTTCAACCGGTATTGCGGGCATGCGTGTTTCCAGTACTGAAGTATACGAATGTATTCTCTGGGAGGGACTTAGTGAAATCACTGATGGCAGCGGTGAAAGCCAATGATGGACAATTATTTTCAACGTAAGAATATTAACACCTACTCTAGACACGGATAGCGACAGGCTATTAGAGGTTCAACGGCCGGGTTTCGATTTCCAGCAGGGGAAACATTTTCGTATACAATGGGTACCAAGGGCTCCTAACCGGCGGGTGAAGCAGCCACTTACCTCCCCCTAGGCCGCGCCTAGAGAGAGAGAGTGAGAGTGAGTGTGTGCGAGGAAACCTACGGTCCAACATGAGGTTAAAGTCTCTGGAACAAACCTGAATGGATCCGGATTGATGCGGCGTCTGCGCATACAAAGAAAATTATTTCCGGAGATAAGAACGATCAGAACCGCGACGGCCCAGAGCTGTCGGACGTTCTGTATGTGCATGACCACTGTATCTGGGAGCTGTGTCTTGCACCCACAAGCAGTGGAGACTCCGCACCATGGCAATGCTTCACTGGTATTTTTTGAAACGTCGATTCAACTGCAATGGTTATTCGCGACGCTGATCAAATTATGTAAATGAGAGCAATACTTCACTATCCTAAACTAAAAGGAAACAGTGTCATTTTCTTCATACCAGATGTTCATAAGGGCCAGGCCACCATTTCGTGATCGCCAAAAGCGACAAAAGATCGATTGCTGAAAAAGGGAAAGTTCCGTATGAGGAGAATCTTGACCTTCACAAAAAAATCACTGTATCTTATAGCATGTGGCATCTGTTGACAATTTATCTGAACTGTGTACATGGTTTAAAGACATTTTGAGGGAAATTCTCTTTCTATAGCTGAAGTTTTTGTTTACCCATGAATTTTTAAAGCTCTGACTTGATGCTTCAGGGTTAAGTCATTAATGTACCATCTTGTTTCGATTGCTCGGGCACAAACGTAAAAGAATGCTGACACGAAAAAGGGCCAGATGTTACTACGGGACTATAATTAAGCAGATTATAAAAAAAAAATCTGTTCACTCATCCGGCGAATTGTCACAAAAAAGTGGTTGATATTATCCTGCCAGACGTCGGTAGCTATGAAGGAATTCCACTTGGTTTAAAAAAGATGCAGCCCATTCCTTACACCCTTTAATAACAAGGAAATCACTTATTCTACTTAGTCTCCCATTATACAAAGTGGAGTGTTGAAATTGTTAACTGTTACGTAATTTTCTTCATTTATTGAGATGGTTTACGTTGCAAAATGCATTGCGCAGTTACATAGCGTCTTCTCATATTCTTAACTTCTGGATTGTTGATCTTAAGAAATTAGGGTCATATTTTGCGTAAAGTGTAACGATCAGCACAACAAAAAAATAGTCTCTCAGCAAAAATAGTTTATACCGGTGCGAGAGTGGGAGCAGAACATGAAGCAGCAATTTAAATAGCACAGATATTTGAAACACAAATTGTGTTGAATTTGCAGTAAGTGGCTGTGCAATTCCTCGGCTGTCTGTACAGTTCACACTTCACCGGGAGAGCCGCAAGATGAGGGCTTTCAGAGGCGCTGTCATGTTGATTGCTGCTGGGTGTATAAGTCAGAGGTAATTTTACAAGTTTGAAACATTCCGAAGACCGCTTTATCGCTCATTAAGGCAGGAAAAAATCATATCAGGATAGATAATAGATCTTCTGAAAACGTGGCAAAGTTAAAGTATTTAGTGAAGACACTAACAAATCGAAATTGCATTCAAGAAGAAAATAAGGGCAGATTACATTTGGGGACTGCTTGCTGTCATTAATTTCAGAATACTTTTTCTTGCTGTCTAGAAATGTTAAGATTAAAATATAAAAACTACAGTCATGCCAGTAATTTTGTACGCGTGTGAAGTGTGGTCCGCCATTGTAAGGGAAGAATACAGATTGGGAGAGCTTGGAGACAGGATGCTGAGAATATCTGAACCCAAGAGGGAGGAAGAAACAGTAACAGGAGCCTGGAGAAAATTGCCTAATTGGGGGATTCTTAATTTGTACCCCTTGCCACATATTAGGATGCTAAAATCAAGGAGGTTGAGATAGGCATGGTACGTGGCACGGTGGGACAATTGAGGAATACACGTATTTCAGGCGAGAAGCCTGAAGATACGAAGATTCAGATATAGCGCAAAGGCTAATATTAAAAATACACTTTAAAGAAATACGAGATGATGACGTAGAGTGGATTAGGACCAGCGGTGGGATCTTGTGAATCCAATAATGAACCTTTGGGCTTCATAAAATGCCGGGAATTTCTTGACTAGCTGAGCAACTATTAGCTTCTCTCGAAAAACTCAGCTCCATACAGTTAGTTTTTCTTATCACTTCGATATTTCAGAATTCTCGGAAAGAAAGTCAGGTTCCTTACGTCACATGAAGTTGCCTTTTTAATCTGTTTTCTGTTCGTCGCTGATGGCCATGGCGACATGTGCTTCCTTGTCAACATTTCGTGTGAATGCAGTAAACGCTTCTCAACACGGGAGATTTTGAGGGCCTTCAAGATCCGTGCTGTGGTTTCATGGGTTATGACATCGCGAGGTCTGGTACGTGGGGGTACCAATATTTCGAAGGAATATACTGCATCCGTTTTCAGCCTACATGATATTTCTACCCCGATGACGGAGACAATAATTCCTCTGAAACAATGGGAATAACTCAAACTAAAAGCTATCCTTGTTACAGGCAGTGGAGGCTCATAGGTTTGTGAGACGTCGAGGCTCCCACATTTTCTAGAAAATCGGCTCAAAAATGGCGGCGAGTTTACCAGACTCACGCGCCGGCCGCTCGGCCGCCCTTTACACCCGGAAAGATTCCTTGTACTCATTTCTGTCAAAGGCTGAGTTGACTCCAGGGTCATACTGAGGCTAGAAGGATTAGGTCGTCAACTGAAAATTCCAATGACCTCATCGGGAATGGAACCAACGGCCTTTCGGCTTGTAGCATAGTGTCTCAACCAACTACGCTACCGCATGCCGTGCCATAACCACAATGTGCACTCTCCCTGACTCCTCAGTGACACCAATTCCCCAGTCTGTATGCACTATGCAATAATGAACATTAATTCAACTTTCACTGTAATCATACAGTGTTGACTGAAGAAGAGGCAATTTCGTAAATTACGCACACTATCTCTATTGTTTAATTATTTCCAACAGCGCGAGATTTACGGAAAGAAATTCTGTTCTTACAAGTTTTCGCTATTATTTACCGTTCACCAGGCAACTCACAGCCGAGCAAAATGGTGTAGCGTTGATGTTCTAAAGGTGTTCGGTTCGAATCTCGGCCGGGCTGCCAGCTATCCAGAGTGAGGTTTCCCGTGGATATCCTCAGTCCCTCCAGACAAATTCCAGTATAGTAATTCGAATATGCAACTACAGCTTCCTTCCAAATCCTTTTCAATTAATCATCTTCCATCTACCATCCTACCATCTGTTGCTATATACTGTATGTGGCTTGGATATCGAAAGTGTCGCTAAGTAACCCAGGACAACCAACCCCTCCCCTTCACACAAAACACTGCATCTCCCACTCATTTAATTCGTGGACCATTTTGCTAAGAGTAATATTTTTGTTCTTCACCCTTTTAAGCGTTCCTTACAAAGCAGAAACAAACATAAATCCTTTATGATGCTTGCCTGTTCCTGTGATGTAGCATAAGGGACCCTACCAAAATGAACAGATTTCCATAAGACTGTACATGGAATACTTTCACTGAAAGATGATCACAATTCTGATTTTCTTCCATACTTAACCATAATAACGTCCAGCTTACATAAATGAGTTTTCCAAACACCCCATAACTGTTTCAGACATTCTGCTGAAAATCAACGAGATTTCCACCAAACGTTGTTGAGAAATACTGGTCATCATTCATACAAAGCCATAATACAGCCTAGATTACATGTTTCCACAAATGTACTTTCCCATATATCCCATAAACCCTTCAATACTTTTTGCTGAAATTTGATAACAGGTTATTTTCACTAATTTGCATTTTGTTAAATCCTTCTTTAAGAGAATTTAAATTTTGGTCTCTGTAATGTACCTAATGTAACCAGAAGACAGAATACTTAATACTCACTGCTTTGAAAACTTTAAATTCTACATCTTAAATTTATATAACCATTTCATAGCCCAAACATATCCTTTTTCTTGACATTATTCTAACCTCACAACATTACACTTACAATGTAGGTGCATAAAGAAAACACAAGGTTCTAAAATATTTTCTTACAGTCCAAATGTGGTGCTATGAGCTGGTCTGCAAGTGATGCTAGGCTGGCGTTTACCCACCGCTGGTATAAACCATATATTATTGCTCTTCATTTCAGTTTAAGTGATGAAACTTCCAATGCACTGGACTTCAGCTCAATTGGGAATAATTTGCCACTTGCTGAATCATTCCCTTGTGTGTGTGGGGTGTTCCTCAGTGGCCAGTTTGTCAAGGGACGCAAGGATCAACCAAAAGGCAATGCTGCACTTCTCCATGAGCATCCAGACCATTTCGCCTGTAACCCATCTGGTAACAAGCAGTGCATTAATAAGTGCTTGGAACTTGTGAGTATAATTCACACATGCATGCACACACATATGGAAATCATACAATCCTCATTACACAAATACTAGCTGAACATTCGGCATACACATTACAGGAGCTGCTCTGAACTTACATACTCTATGCTATATAATAAACACTTTAAAGTTAAAATATTTGAAGAACAGAATAGCTTCAGGAAAGAAGCTTATACAGAATGTTCCAGGAGGGAAGGTCATTGTACCAGTCATTCTAAGCAAAAAGGGTGTATGTATATGTGTCCTGTTCTGAACAGTTTCCGAGATGGAGCTGTTTCACTGTACAGTTCTAAAATTGTTAGTAAGAGATATTACATACTGCGTCTAATACCAATATTTATTATAAACATTTATATAATTTTTACTGTCAATGCAACAATACTTTATTATTTATTTATTTATATAGCACACACTACATGTTTCAACTTTAAATGGGTCATCTTCAGGTGCTGCCAAGTTTCTCACATACTATTACTGAACTGAAATGCTAACATTCTCATTTTTCTAAATGGTTCATGCAAATTAGTTTCTATTCGATTCACAAACTAGACAAAACTTAAGACTAGACTTTGGTTAAAATTAACAGTAAAATACAATAAAATAAGAATAAAAATCAACATAAAAATCATTCATGTGATACAGTTTCATACATAACAATAGGTTAAACCTAATTTAATAATTAGGTGACCCTAAAGCCACAATTTGATATTTAAAATGATTTAAAGAAATGATCTTTCAGAGTGTTATAAGCTGAGAGTAGCTCTGTGTTTGTTACTGCAGTAGACCACACATAAGCTTCCTCAAATTTCTTCTACTGTTAGCTGCATTGGTTCGCCATATTAGTATCGTAATTTTACCATTCTCCTAAAGAACAGATCACTCTTCTTTCGTGTTGTCAGGAGGCAATGGTTAATTTGTGCTGTTTACATTATATGGTTCCTTGTGCTGCATGGTTCACACTACAGCAAGCTATTTAATTTTGTTTCATTAAATGAAATAGCTTACCGTAGTATAACCCATGCAGTGCAAGGAACCACATAATGTAAACAGCACCTGAAGATGACCCATTTGAGGTCGAGACATGTAGTTGTGCCATATAAATAAACAAATAAGTAATAAAATATTGTTGCGTTGATGGTAAAAATTATATATGTTCATTGCATATATGCAACAGGACGCAATCCTTAAAAATAAAAACAATATTTATTGTTTAACTGACAAAGTTGATACAGTTTACCTAGTATAATACATTTCTGAAAATTCCACCATCAATATCAATGCACTTTGTAGCTTGTGTGAGGGCATGGTGTGTTCCTCGTCTGAGTGCATCTTGATGTACATCTGAACTCCTGCACAGCAAAATAGCTCTCTCTTGACCTTTCCTCCAGGGACACTCTGTATAGTGACATATTTTAGCCTATTCAACTTTCTTATGGAAAGAAAATGGGCTTATGAATGCACTATGTTGTTTGTGGATATCTGTATGTGTCCCGTTCATGTTTCCAAGTAGCTGAACGAGTTACACAAAATTTGGTATGAATGTTATGCCATCCATCACACTCTTCCATTATGTGTAACAGGTACCAACAACATGGCAGACCTGTGAGGTGGGAGTAACACTAGTCCCATACAATTTAGGGTAATGAAATTGTGCACAGTAATAGATCTTCAATAAACATGCAGCTTATTTGCGGGTCTTCTTTTTTCCTTTTTGAATATAAACAAACAATTTTGTGCTCATACAAAAATTTTTCCAGCCTTTGCTTTGATGGCAATGCCCAATGAACCACTGGAGTTTGGCCTGTAACATTTGATAATGAATATTCTGTAAACATACCTATACATTCCAAATGAAATATTGTTAAGTCAAAAAATATGGCAGCAGTGCAAAACTTTCAGGTTATGTCCAACAAATGTAACGCAGGCAGATTCTGTACATAAGTTAAAGGGTCTCTAAATAACGAAATAAAAATGACAATGGATCTGTAAAACTAGAAATCTGTACTATAGGAATCAAGGAGGTGCCTTATTAAATTTCAGTAGTTTTTCCTCATGCCTAAAAATAGCATGAATTCCCCTTCTCAGCAATTTCCTGTTTAACACTGTTACTGGTCCGATGTCTTGATGCATAATTCAGAAATATTTATGTAAGAAAGGTACGAACACAAGGATATTACTCTGTTATTTTCAGATTGTGAAACATCTACCAAACAGCGGAACAATTCTATGTGGTGCTATTGACAGAGACTGCCACAGAGAAAGAGTAAGTATAAAGCCTCATGATTTTTAAACAGCACATATCCAAAGAATGTTGAACACACTGGGCAGACAACGCAGTTTCATTTCTATAATAATAAAGCAATCAAACAACATCCCTTTCACTTTTAAGCGCTGAACACTATCTGTGTTTCCTAGCATCATGAAGCTTTCTCACACACACATGTTAAAAACACAGAGTAGAAGGATGAACCAAGGATGTAGAAGGTATTTGCTGTGGGATTTCCCCAGCATTTATCTTGAGGGACAATGTAAAAGCACACACACATTTCCTTCATGATAGCGAGGTTCTGGGCCAAGAATCAAATTCTATATTTCCTAGGCATGAGTACCAACCACTTGAGTGAACATTTGACAGAGAACAGTATGGTTGCATGAAAGAGCATACTGTGTTTTATGGGCAGAAATATTCCAGCACAAAAGAGTACTCTAACATTAGTATATTCCTTCAATGAATTAAAAAAAGAACACATGCACGCATGCATGCGCGAACTCACACACACAAACTGAGAAATGAGTGTCCGGTTGATACAAAATTTCAAAGGTAAAAACTATATATATTTGGATGAACAGGTGACACTGTGCATTAGAAGGTTACAATGATCTGAAGAGATGATGGAGACATGAAATGCATATTGAATTTTGGTGTGGAAACCTCTTGAAAGCAACCACTCAGAATACTAGAAACAGATATGAGAATAACATTTAGATGGATATTAACAAAAAACAAACTATGTGGTTTTAGTCTGCAAGTGAACTATACCAACCAAGCGACCACCGCTTGTCAGCGAAGTTAGTGCCAACTTTATCAGATAGAGGGTGTCGCATGGTCAGCACAATGAATACCCAAGACCGTTAATTGCGGTTTTCTAGACCGGAGCCACTATCTCCGTGAAACAGCTCCTCAATTATCCTCATGAGGCTGAGTGGACCCAATACTTTTCAGAAAATCTGGTAGTGCCGGGAATCGAACCTGGACTTCTGGATCTGTAGCCAGGAACTCTGACCATTAAACCAGGGAGGTGGTCATTGAGGTGGGTCTTAGGGAAATTATGTGGGGATAGATGGTTGATGGAACTGGTTCAGGATCCTGTATTGGAGGTGTTAGAATTTTCGATTATATCAATGGAGTTAATTAATGTATAGGTCTACAACATGGCATTCCAAATTCTCACAATCATATGAATACATGGTAACATGACTTCTTTCCCCACTGAGAGTGAAAGGATTATGGGAAATGTAATCTATATATGTGAAAGACTGTTTTTTTTTTTCATAAGGGCTCCATTCTTATATATCCAATGCAGTACTGACAAGAGTGGATAATGAATTAGAACAGTGAAACAGTGTAGCAGTTTCGACACAATTTTGACACAATCTCAATTGAATATCTGTAAAAACACCTCAAAATGGCAGTTTGAGGCCGAAACATGTAGTGTTAGAGAGGGTATTGAAGTGTAAAATAAAAAGTGCTGCAATTTGGATGAATTATAGACGAATGGACGCTAATGTGAACAATTGCAACAGGATGCTGAAATACAGAATCTATTTGCATCATATAAGGCCTGTCATATTCAGAGTCAGAGTTACTTTACAACTGTCGGTTTACTGCCAACCAGTTCATCTTGGCAACAAGCCCCTTGGGACTCATGACCAGTAATTTTATTTTCCAAGTGAACACTTACAGTTATAGTCCTTACGTAACATCCTATCTGACAACAGGATGGGTCTTTTGTTTACAACTGCTGCTGGTCCTTGCCTGTGCAATCATTTTCAGGTCCAAGTCCCACCAGACTCATGACCACATTTTACTGTCTCAGATTGGAGACTCCCACAACTTGGAGGTCCAGGTCCCTGTATTTATGCCCCCAGGAAAAGGGTGGCCCATTTATACCCCCAGGCACTGGGTTCGCTTTTTGTTGCCTCCTACAACTCGCAGGACAACAGTGGAGGTATCTGACTCTGCCTCCACATGGGATTATAAGGCTTGAAATTCATCTAAGCAATATTAACAATTAATTTCTTTACCTCATATAAAACACTCTGTGTCTCCATTACAAACATTGGTCACTTAACGCTGTTTATGGAAATGATCACTGTTTATTCTGAGAATCCTATGAAACACACAAATGCACTGTGAAGACAAAACACATATTTTGTGAATGTTAAAGCAGATTACACAAGCAGCAACTGCTCTACTTTACAGGAGTAACTGGATTATATTCAATGAAAAACACTGACAGTGTTTAACAACATTTTTAATGTATCTTTTCCAGGCCTATCTGTTCATCAAGAACTGCAATGACACGTGGATCAACACAAATCTGTCTGCAGGACGGGAATACTGCTGCAAGGATGGCATGCCATACAAATGTCCAATTTTGTCCTAATCTTTAGCAATTTGGTGACTAACACTTCTGGTATGGAATTATGTAATGTCACATTTTACTTATGACGTAATGATACTTCATGCAAATATAAAAATAAACTAAGGCCACTTGTAGAAATTAAATGTTCAACACCACTACCATAAAACCTCATTAATGGATTCAATCTTGGGCTACTGTTTTCATAAAACTTATAGTTCACCCTTCCTCTTTGATCTTGTTAAGTAAACAATCTCTCAACAGGATTTACGGAAGGTGAATAAAAAAAAATGAAATGAAATATGAGACCCCCCACCAAAACTGTATATATATTTCTCGGTTCTCCCATCCAAGGTACAATGTTATGCCCAATGCACAATAAAATTCTGGAATTTGTGACACTAATGAAACTGCATAAAAGGATATCAGTCACAAGAGAAGATACATCCCAGTAATCTTCACAGTCACCAGAGTGGGAACCTCAGCTCCAAAATCACAAATCACAATTTTCTTCCTATATTTCATTTGCCTCTACCCTTTCTCACCATTACTTCTGGCCCTGAATAACTTCATTCATCACACTTTTTCCTCAGGTTTGGCAATGAGAATTTTTCATAAATCACTAAGCATAATTGGCATAATGTCCCCTAATAAAAGTATTATGTCAGTTTGGATATACCATTTCCTTGTTCTTGTAATGTGGATATACAAACAATAAACTGAGATCAGATATCAGCATACTTTCCAGTGCATAAAATGCAAAATGCTTTAGAGAAAATAAAATATCAAGAATATTTCTTAATTTTTTAGCAAAGAAAATTTATTATTTATTAATTTTAACTAGGAGTTTGGATAGTTCGGTCAGTACAGTGATGGGATGGGTGACTTCTCCACAGCATCCAGACTGCAATTCCCATATACTGGGTATCAGATCGAGGGTAAAGCTGACCACTCATCTCTATCTACTGACAAGGTCAAGAAAGTTGGAGCTATATCTCCACTCCCCCTATATGTCTTCATGATATTGTACATCACTAATTAAGCATGGCGACAACTTCACGTTTTCCTTTTGATTAAAACTAAATCACTTATTGATTTAGAAATGAAGGAAAATGATTTTATTTGACTCAATGAACAAAATAAAATGAAATCCAGGAAATTGTGGTTCTCATCTTACGTTCACTGTTACTTCCCATGAATATGACTGTGTGCTCTCTTGGGCCACTTCTGAGGAAGATATGCATCTTGTGCACTGGGAAATGTGGGAATTCTCTGCAAATTGTGCTGATGTCACAGCACTGCTCTGACAGAATGCACTGTGCCAATGTTACAAAGTCAGTCTGATCTTAATATTATTCAGCAGTAACAATGCCTGGAAAGTACTTCTTCTCACTCCATGCTGACTTGGCAGCACTACTCTCAAGGACTTCCCTCTGCCATTTATCATCCATAGTTTCTGCTGCTGTCAACTCCACAGAAACTCAAGAGGAACTTTATGTTAGTACTGAGGCTAGAGACAGACAATCTGTGCAGGACACTGGCAGCTATGGTCTTGGTTTGCATACAGCTAAGCTGCCTGCTCAAATACAGTCACACAAGCTTGATTCTAGCTTTTATCAACATTGGTATCTGTGAATAATGCTTGTGTTACATTGTCTCCAGAACTGCAAGTAGTATCTGTCATCACTGGGGATCAAAGGCTGGCAAAGATCTCAGGGGAATTTCATAAATCCTGAGGAATGCCTACTGACACAAGAGTGGTCAGCTCTACCAGCAAACCCTACTCCCATGTCCAAGATGGCTATAGCTATGTGATCCCTGGACAATGCAACTCTTAAATTGTAGCAGGGGGGAGAAAATGAGGGCAACTTCCCGGACACTTAAAACTGGGATCATGTGCATGCATGCAACATCTGTCATCACTTCTATGATTCCAGCCTGTCATGTAACTTTCTTCCATGCTTATCAAGTAGCTTGACAAGTTTTAGTGTAGACTACAATTATGAAATTCTGTTTGAAAACTGGTGAGTAATTTCAAACATGAAACATGCAAAGTGACAGACAAAACTTCCCCTACATGCATTTACTTCAAGCCAAGAACATGTAATAATTATCCTGCCATGTTCTTAACTATGAATAAATCTGTTACTTTCTTAATTGAAACATATCTGCTAGAGTAAACTCTTCACAAGTGGTTTTCTTTTGTCAGCAACTGGAATGAAATTGGCCACAACAGGCACCATTATAAAACTTTAGGTTTCAATGACCTGAATGAGACACAAAATTGCCACACCTGCAGCCAAGTCATGAAAAAACAAAGAGTCTTATCATTTTGCATTAAATCATGCACCACTGATCCATCATTTGTGTTCATTTATTGTCTATTTAATGATGCTGTCAGTAACTCATAACATATATGATGATCAGTGAATAATGAATTGGAAAGGATAGGGAAGGAAGTGGTCATGGCCTAATTTAAGGTTCTATCTTGGCATTTGGCTGCAGGGACTGAGGACAACCATGAAAAAATTTCAATCAGGGCAACAGGTGCACCATCAGAGATTCGAATGAGGGGACCTTCTGAACACAAGTCAGATTTGTTACTGCTCGTGTCAACTTGTTCAGTTCACTTGCAGTGTCTTAAGAGCATTCAAAAAGCTTGCACCATTCAGTGAATATTTCTCACTTCAAAATACTGTAAATACTCATATAACTCTGTGCTTGGCTCACTGCAGCAGCGACATACTGTGTTAACTGGCATCAGTTACTGTCGTCATCTTCTTGAAGAATTTAGTACACACACAATTCTATATTCTCATATGCAGTTAAATTGACACGTGCCCACACTCACCAGAACACACAGCAGCATCATGTATGACTCTCTCTGCAGCTGTACAATGTATCTAAGTTATGGGTTCAGTGTTCATACATTGGATCAGCCCTCACAGATGTTACACTGACAACTGCAGAAGCTTGCTTTAGTCACTAAACAAGCTAAACAGTTCACTTCACTTTCAGATTCAAACTGAGGTACACAAGCATCAGGAGTGACATCACACGCACAGACAAACCAATGTCAACATCTCTAAGACAGTAAAATCTTATAACAATCTGGTAAAATCATGAATTAATATGATAATTAATTATTCCATAAACTTTTTATTTTCCTCTGCTCCAGATCAAATTAAGTTCCACATGAACACCTACAATGTGAAGAGTTCTGTCTTCTGGGATTTAATGCAGTGTAGTCAACCTAGTCCAGGTCCGAGGCTTTGTGTTCATTTTTTAACATACTGATTTTTTACGGTGAGGATAGGCACCAGTGGGGGGCTCTTGTGAACATGGTGATGAACCTACGGGTTCCATAAAATGCTGGGAAATTCTTGAGTAGCTGCAGAATTGGCAGCTCCTCAAGAAGGGCTCAGCTCCATGAGTAAGTAAGTAAGTAGTCAACCTATGTTTCGGAGGAACAAGTCACCTCCACCTTAAGCGTAGATGGATAAGCAAAGCTGCTTGCTACCTGCTTCATGCTGGTTTCTTGCTCGGCTTATTCTTTGACTGTGAAGATGGAAGCAACATGTTCCTCTGAAATGTCAGTTGACTTTTGATGGACTACAAGGCATTATATCACAGAAGACATAACTCTTCATAATCACCTCTGTGAGACCCTCAAATCCTACAACTTTAGTGTGTGTGTTGAACAGACAATTCATACATTCTCATTCTCATTTATTTACATTCCATAAATCCACTACATATAGGATAAGGAATTAGTCATTGATAGTACAAATAACACTACATAGAAATAACAATATAGGATTCATTACATTACTCAACACAATAATAGATCACAGTTGATTACTGGAGTCAAATTTACAATCAAAGTATTCTTCCAAGGAATAAAACGAGTTCATCAACAAAAATCTTCTTAAAACATAGGTCATACTTATTGCAATACAGCATTTGAAGGAAAGGGCCAGCAATATCTGAAAATACTGTGATATGTCAATGCATTGCCAGGCAACAGCTCAATTGACATCCTATGATCCATGCATGCAACAGTAGAGCAAGCTGTGTTTTTCATGTGACCAGCAGCTGGTGCATAAGCAGTGACATCACACATCAACAGTAGGCGGCTGTCATGTGACATGTGTTTCCTGAATGTCCATCAGCTTTTGCATGTGCAGTGATGTCATACAGCAACAGTTGGTAGGCGTCACATGATATGTGTTTACTGTTCGTTGATGTCCGTCCCTCAGCTATATAAGTGAGTATAATTCCTGAACTGGCAGAGAGAAATAGTAGCGGTGGAATTGTGAGAAGGAAGTGAAGTGGAACCAGAAGCACAGAAGAATACAGGAGGTCAGTCTGTGAGAATTTAAAATGTGATTTGAAGACCTTAATTAGGTGTACTATTTGGAGAGATCTGAAGTGCTAGTTCCTGTGTTTTAATTGCATTACCAGGAGAGGACTAGTGAGAGTAACAGTGGATTATGAAGCCTGTAAATCAACGTTAGTGCTGTAATTTAAGTGTGATTAAGAGAGACTGTAACCAAGGTATTAATAAACCCAATCATCCAAACTAGAACCCATCTGTTTGTCATGTGTACCACCTTATACATGACAATATATTCAAATCTGTTAAAAAATAAACTTTCCCAGGCAGGCAACTGTAACAATTCTCACTTATTCTATGAAGTGCATATATAAATGTGTTAAATTCATATGTCTGAACTGGGTAACGTTTCAGTCTTTTTATGGTGTATAATTGTAAATGCAAAACTGTGAAATCGAAAGTCTGAGTTGGTACAAAGGAAAATAAAGAAAATAAGAGAACCTCCTAACTGAAAGTTTATTCAAATAGTGGATAACAACTGTGTCTGATTAGAGAAATTTTTCACTGGAATCAGTTTTGCCTCTCCATGCAATACAGTTATCCTTGTCTCCCTATTAACAGTGCAACTAAACCTGCAAACAATGAGCTTTCTTATGGAAGTAATCTCTACAGTAACTGTCACTGTCTCACCTGTGTAGCATGGATGTGGGAAGTGCAGCGTCTGTGAAACAACCATGGTACCTGGCCCAGGCAACTTGGTACCAATCACACCTGAAATAAGTCCATTGAGTAATGCACCATGGACAATGACCGGATGATTTGATGTACTGCCCCAGACTTTATGGATTGGATTGTGATCACCAGTCAGTTTTGCAAAGGTATCCACATCCTCTTGTGATATACATCTCACTTCACTCACTTTGTCCCCTTCTTTTATTGGCACTTTCTTTTGGTCCACCAATGTATTTTCCCTTTTGTTAGGGCAAGAAATCGTTGTATCACTGTCTTCAAGACCTGAAGTTACTTTCCACAAAGTTGGCCCATTCTTGGTGGTGTAACACTTGGCGTAAGTGTTAACATTCCAAAAACTGACATTTCTCATGCAACATTTCTGGTTACATAATGTTGGTAACTGATAACACAATGGGTTTATGGCCCTCAGCCTCCGAGCTGATCTCAGTAAGCACACAGTCATCATGCAGTGAAAAAACAGTCATGAAAATGAAATAACCAAAGCTCTACTAATTCAAGAGGACAAAAGTCACACATCATATGAGCATGCAACGGCAATCGTCTTATGATAGAAATGCTTCACAAACACATCCAATGTGAAAAATATAATTTTTACAAACATGAGAAATATGAAGAACTATTCCTTAGAATGGAATTAAATGGAATCTTATCTTCACAAGTAAACTGCATAATGATGGCACAATATTGTACATAATAAGGTACATAATAAGGCATAGCATTCATGTCACATTTAAGCAACTTATACCATCAAATTAAAAATTATATCACAAAATTAACAATTACACCAACAAGCACTATACACTTAAACTTTAACAATTCCCATTGTAGAGAAGATAGTGAAGTCACCCAAATGACATAATTACTCAGGCACACAGTCAACCGGAGGCACTGGGATGTCTTCTACAGCTACTGGATGCACCTCGGACCCTGCAGCTTCTGCCACTTGTTCCGGTGTACAATAATCTTCTAAGAAAATTGTTGCCAAATTTTTTAGGCGAGTGTTTCGACTTCTTGAGAAGCGAAGCATGCAATTCACAATCTCTGGTGATGTAACTTCTGTAATGGGCAATAAAGAATTTTCAAGAATAGCAAGTAACAATGATGATAATGTCATCAGTAACATCTCTGAAAGGAGTACTTCAAGGGCAGAGGCATAAATAAATATATGGAGAATGTCTGATGATACAAGGTGTGGCAATAAAGAACCCGGATTACTTTTATGACTCATTTCCGGCCACGTCATTGACGAAGAGGAGGGTAGGGCATTGACCCTTGGACTTCCCTCTACCGTCACACAAAGTTTCATTCACGTGCATCGGTTAGTCTGGCCGCGACCATTGTTAGAAGCGGATCGTGTTTCTGAGCTCCGTCGGAATAATGCTGAGTGCTAATGCAGAACAACGTGCTAACATCAAATTCCTCACAAAACTTGGAAAATCTGCCACTGAAACTTACAATTTGTTGACAGAAGTATATGGTGATCAGTGTCTATCTCGCACGCAAGTTTTCGAGTGGTTTAAGAAGTTTATGGAGGGTAGGAAAAACGTCGGGAACGATCCAAAATC